GTCTGGGAGTCGTACTGATATCACCATTTCTCACATCACGATGCTGTATCCTGCCTCCAATAGGCAGTTCCAAAAACGATATAAAAGTAGTTCGACCTTTTTTGATGTCTTTTATTCCGTGTTCATATTCGCAATACTGACGTTTGCAGAAACCGTGAAAGGAAAGGTTGTGTATAGACCTGGAGGATGGCAGAACAAACAAAGCAAACAATGTGACAAAAGTAAAGTGAATATCTGGAGGACTGGCAAAATCGGGGGAAGGGAGAGAAACAACATCACCCGCTGTTGAAAGTTCTGCGTGTCTTACTTTTGGAACAAGATGTTCAATACTCCGCTTGAACGTACTCAGATGCAAAATTCAGTATAATTAGTTGTATATTTAGTACTATTTTACATAGGAAATAATAAATAACTCAAAGATATTTCGAAACGTTCCTTAAAATTAGGAGGGCGTTATGTACACAAAGGAAGAAGAAGGAAAAGGAAAAAAGAACAGGAACAATAAACATGAACGAACATGACCCCCTCCCGGTGTAATTTCACCCACAGTAGCGCTGATTCGCAGCAGATTACAAGATCGCGCGATTCCAGCCATCGCGCAATCCAAATCACGTGTGACCACCAGCGATCGAGCACGCGTCGGATCCCAAATCACCTCGCGATTCTGGATCAGGCGCGACCCAGATCGCGAATGTCTGATACGCGCCGTCTAACAGTATCCAAATATACAAGTATCCCACAAAAGCAGCAGCCGCCTCGTTCAGATGAGGGCGTGGCCGCAGCCACGCCCACTCATCTCTGCCGGATGATGAACTGTAGATGAAAATTCATTAGTTAATAAAAGATTCAATACGCTAGCAGAATTATCAAGTGGAATTGAAAAACTGCTGGCTTTATATTACAGGGCTTTTCTGGGTCTTGACGCAATGTTTGAACGCGCTCAGTGGGGTAAAGTTCAATACGAAACTTCTTATGAGCGGTGGTATTACGTTAGTGTGAGCGCATCATGCAAGCGCAACAAATGACTGACGTAAAAAGTAACATGCCGATGTTGCGAGGGAATAAAACTCTAAAAAGTTTCAAGTTTTTGTGGCAGCCTTTCATCGTCCTGAAATCTGTCGCACCGTTTCTGCCATTATACCCTACCCCTCTACTGCTTCACCTACTGCCGGTAAAACGATTGTCATTGGGCCTCTGAGCATCAAGTGTAACATGTGCCTCCTATCTGCTGGATCTACACTTTGGAATACACACGGTTTCCTCCTGCTGTGATGTGATTCATAGACTGCGATTCGGGCGCTCCAGCCACGCACCTAGGAATCACGCAAAAACTGCGAAACTTTTAGCGCTCTTCGTTTAAGATTGTTGGACCGCCCTGCGATAATCAATTCCATTTTGGGACAATTTAGTCGCGTCTTTTTCAGAACAAGGCAAGATGACTGTTGTTTCAGACTGATATATCCCTATATACCCCCCCCCCACAAATGAACCCAAATGAGATGATCAAGTGAAGCATCAGCCACGCCCCACCGCTCCTTACAGAGTCTATCGATTTTGATCGCGTGATTATTGTCTAAGCTAATTCATTCAAATTGTTTATCAATCCTGCCACAGCACTAGTGAGTTAGTCGGAGCGCGCGAACACAGCCTATCATGTGCTCGTCTCGGGAGAGGGCAAGCTTGGTTCTTCGGAATTCTCTGCATTTGTCTCCGTTTTTACGAGTAACTAACTCATCCACCCTCACCTCCATAGGATTTTAGGCTCGTAACACATCAGTGTATGCAGCACATGGTAGCGTAGTGTGATGATGAGCTCTAAACTTACGCTCAAGTTCTTTTGGCGTAATGCCTAGTATGCCGAATACAACGCCGTGACATACAGCCGCGATAGAACTTAGGCTGCGAATGAAAACATTTGACTCTACAGTTCTCATGAGTTCTTTTTATACTCGGTTTGGGGAGAGTGGTAAATAAAATAAAAACAACTATTCAAAGGACCATACCGTAATCGCTATCGAACGGATGTGATGCAGCTTCGTGATACGGATCAGGTCGCGCGTGATATGCGTCCTCCTCGTCTTCGTAGCTTGCCTGCAGCGTCTGGATATCGATTAGACAAGGAGGATAAAAAGAGACAGATATGAAGAGAGACGAAACACGTTCACACACTATCATGGCGATATTCACACACTATCATTACGAGAACCGACTGTTCGCTGAAAATGGCTAGTTTTTGATTAATCGATCACCCGCCATCGACATGCACGTGCAGGTATTTTATATAATAGGCCCTGCTTAATTCTTACCTTACCAAATGTCATGAAAAATTAATTCACCCACACTACAAAAAGTGTAGGGTGGAGATGTTGGTGTGAAAAGGTGGTAGGTTGTTATGCGTGTAGTCTGGGATCGGACCGACTGACCAAGCGTTCAGTTCCAGGACACGTCCTTTACGTGAGGATCCCTAGCGAGGGTGGCATTTGGTCGCTAGAGGGAGGAGTTCTTAATTGCCTTTGTTAGAAAAATGTGTTTGGCTGCAGGTTTTTCTCAATTTTTTCCCGCTTTACGTGCGCAACACATAGATATACCTCCTCTCGTTCCGCTCTACGGCAGTTTTTCTTAAAAAAACTCCAGAGAAACGTAGGAATTGGCGAGATTCCAGGGAGATGGGGATTAGGATAGGCTAAGGATCACGCCAGAGGACGAAACTTCGAGGAGGGGTTCTTTTTTCCGAAAAATTCTCCCTTAACAACGAGACGTGCCCTGCCTCTGAGACCTAATTCGTACCCCTCCTGAAGTGCACAAGTTTCTTGCTTTCGGTGAACAAAAGAGATGATTTGCCGCGGCGGCACGCGACGTAAGCAGTGCGCAGGACGAGCTGCCGTATAAGGCGCCATAGGGGGGGGGGAGGGTGCTTTTTAGTGACTCTGTCTCAGAAGAACTCGGTCAAATGGCGGACGAGCAAAAGTTACAAAAAGGCCAGATACTACCAAATTCCTCTTTGCAATGCGGATCCATTTACGAGCTGTTGATCGTAAAAACTGACAAGGGGTTATTCTATCATGAACACGGTCCGGGATCGGCCCGCCTTGCATAAACCGGGCTCTCCTCCCCTGCAGGGAAATCGGGAACAAACACTGATCATGCTCCCTTTGGGAGGCGCGAGCACTCCGCTTCCGTTTGGGAGGATGGACACATTGAATTTACTGTCTGCACCTTGCAGGTCATTACATAAGCTAAAACGCATTCAAAATGATGCAAGGGGTTCTAAATGAGGAAGGTTGCTCGCGTGTCACGAACTGAGAAGATCAGCTCCAAATGCAGTATCCTTTTTCTGTTTTATTAAAGCAGTTGCACGATAAACCCCCCAGGACGACTTAGGATCAATACTCCTGGCAGGATAGAATTCCGCGACCCTGGGCAGGCGCTGCATAGCGGTTTCCCCGAGGAAGGTGCCCTTATAAGGGCCCTATCAAGCCACAACTTTACGTCCCAAACGCCCGCCACGCCCGCCCGCCCACAAATGGACGACCGTTCCTGACGCTCGTATTCATTCATTTGCCTAAGCAAATTATGAAGCAAAGGGATTGGTATGAAGCGGCCGTGATGCTGCATGCATACATGGGTACACATATGCAGCCGTATCTTCGGTAGCGGTGATTGGTAAGATGCCTACGGGAAACTCGTCCGAAATCGATTTACAAGTCACTGAGAACGGAGGCTTTTCTTCGCAGGATTTTGACCGTTTCACTCCGTTCTTTCGCCATTTCCACACTTACATGTACAGCGCCCCACGTTAGCATTTTGGGCTAAGTAAGAAAATAATCGGTTTTTGGCGCCAAACTGCCTTTTAAATTGGATATTCATGAGATTACCGCATTCCAAAACCGGTGAAAAGCTGACGGATGCTTTTTTGTGTTATACGATCCTTTACTTAATGGTTGCCTTCGACTCTATTAAACTTACGCCCGTACCATCGCTGATAGACACTAAAATATGTAAGGGAATAGTTATTAGGAAAGAAGCCAAGAATTGATGGAATTACTTCCTTAAATCGGTGCATCTTGAATCCCCCGATCGCCAAGGATGATCTAGTTGTAGGGAATGTTTTCAGCTGGCGTAATCTCCTTATAACGGACGTATCATAAGATGCTCGAGAACTCGTGCTAATCTTCTGACAAGCGGAATTCCCTGACTGATCATTGGGAGATGTCCTGACTGAGAAGCAGGAGTATCGAAACCCATGGTCATTCACTCTAAGTGGGCTGTCAATCAACAAAATCTCATAGTTCACTGAGCTTATCTACGTTGCCAATTGAGAAGACCCTAGGGGATCAGTGATCCGGACGAGTTGTCCAACTCGGAAAACGCGTATCTGACGTCAAACGTCCATGATATTTTGACAGTGCCAAGCATCGCAGCAGCAGGGATTCAGGGAAGCGTGAGAAGTCTGAGCACTGACGAAATGGAAGACGATTCCACGCTGATCCGCTTGAAAGATACATCACGAGACGGAGTTAGGATAAGCAGTTACGTCAGTGTTCTTATCTTCATAAACAAGTCTGGTCGCAAGTAACCGCCCACAAAGGAGTGGAAGCTCGAACTTCTCAACCTCTGCCCTGAGAATAACTTGGTCAAGTAGGTCTAAATCCAAGTCGCTGCAATTTGAACAAAGAGCACGC